GGCGAGGCTCGAGTAGACGAAGAGCGAGACGAGGCGCACTCGAGGCGGCGGCAGAGACAGCCGCCCGCCCGCTACGCCGGCCACGAGGTGGCACACGAGACGAGGCTCGAGTACACAAAGAGCGAGACAAGGCGCACTCGAGGCGGAGGCAGAGACAGCCGCCCGCCCGCCACGCCGCCCACGAGGCGGCACACGAGACGAGGCAAGAGTAGACAAAGAGCGACACGAGGCTCACTCGAGGCGGCGGCAGAGACAGCCGCCGGCCACGCCACGCCGCCCACAAGGCGGCACACGAGACGTGGCTCGAGTAGACAAAGAGCGAGACGAGGCGCACTCGAGGCGGCGGCAGAGACAGCCGCCCGCCCGCCACGCCGCCCACGAGGCGGCACACGAGACGAGGCAAGAGTAGACGAAGGGCGACGCGAGGCTCACTCGAGGCGGCGGCAGAGACAGCCGCCCGCCACGCCACGCCGCCCACGAGGCGGCACACGAGACGAGGCTCGAGTAGACGAAGAGCGAGACGAGACGCACTCGAGGCGGCGGCAGAGACAGCCGCCCGCCCGCCACGCCGCCCACGAGGCGGCACACGAGACGAGGCTCGAGTAGACGAAGAGCGAGACGAGGCTCACTCGAGGCGGCGGCAGAGACAGCCGCCCGCCCGCCACGCCGCCCACGAGGCGGCACACGAGACGAGGCTCGAGTAGACAAAGAGCGAGACGAGAAGCACTCGAGGCGGCGGCAGAGACAGCCGCCCGCCCGCCACGCCGCCCACGAGGCGGCACACGAGACGAGGCTCGAGTAGACGAAGAGCGAGACGAGACGCACTCGAGGCGGCGGCAGAGACAGCCGCCCGCCTGCTACGGCGCCCACGAGGCGGCACACGAGACAAGGCTCGAGTAGACAAAGAGCGAAACGAGGCGCACTCGAGGCGGAGGCAGAGACAGCCGCCCGCCCGCTACGCCGCCCACGAGGTGGCACACGAGACGAGGCTCGAGGTACCCAAGAGCGAGACAAGGCGCACTCGAGGCGGAGGCAGAGACAGCCGCCCGCCCGCCACCCCGCCCACGAGGCGGCACACGAGACGAGGCACGAGTAGACGAAGAGCGACACGAGGCTCACTCGAGGCGGCGGCAGAGACAGCCGCCCGCCCGCCACGCCGCCCACGAGGCGGCACACGAGGCGAGGCTCGAGTAGACAAAGAGCGAGACGAGGCTCACTCGAGGCGGCGGCAGAGACAGCCGCCCGCCCGCCACGCCGCCCACGAGGCGGCACACGAGACGAGGCTCGAGTAGACTCAGAGCGAGACGAGGCGCACTCGAGGCGGCGGCAGAGACAGCCGCCCGCCCGCCACGCCGCCCACGAGGCGGCACACGAGACGAGGCTCGAGTAGACTCAGAGCGAGACGAGGCGCACTCGAGGCAGAGGCAGAGACAGCCGCCCGCCCGCCACGCCGCCCACGAGGCGGCACACGAGACGAGGCTCGAGTAGACGAAGAGCGAGACGAGGCGCACTCGAGGCAGAGGCAGAGACAGCCGCCCGCCCGCCACGCCGCCCACGAGGCGGCACACGAGACGAGGCTCGAGTAGACGAAGAGCGAGACGAGACGCACTCGAGGCGGAGGCAGAGACAGCCGCCCGCCCGCCACCCCGCCCACGAGGCGGCACACGAGACGAGGCTCGAGTAGACGAAGAGCGAGACGAGGCTCACTCGAGGCGGCGGCAGAAACAGCCGCCCGCCACGCCACCCCGCCCACGAGGCGGCACACGAGGCGAGGCTCGAGTAGACGAAGAGCGAGACGAGAAGCACTCGAGGCGGCGGCAGAGACAGCCGCCCGCCCGCCACGCCGCCCACGAGGCGGCACACGAGACGAGGCTCGAGTAGACGAAGAGCGAGACGAGGCTCACTCGAGGCGGCGGCAGAGACAGCCGCCCGCCCGCCACGCCGCCCAGGAGGCGGCACACGAGACGAGGCTCGAGTAGACAAAGAGCGAGACGAGGCTCTCTCGAGGCGGCGGCAGAGACAGCCGCCCGCCCGCCACGCCGTCCACGAGGCGGCACACGAGGCGAGGCTCGAGTAGACGAAGAGCGTCATACAAGCCGTCAACGCATGACGGCATCGCTGTAGCTCGGTGGCGCGCGGTGGTGAGCTTTGCATTTGTGATTGTTTTTGTTTTCTTTCGCTGCCCCTCGTGGGCTTTGCGATTCTGACCGTCACGTGCCTGCGACGCGGTTTCTTTCCGCCGCACCTGATATATATATATATATGTCGACTCCGCCCAGCTCAGCCACCGCGTTCGCTCAATGCTGCTGCCGCAGAGGAGACGTACAGCGGAGGCGCGTACGTCTCCTCGCCACATTCTCGCGGCGAAGCAGCTGCCGCCGCCGAGACGCGACGCGGCGTCTGCTGAGGAGAGAGCCAGCGCGGCGGTCGCCGACGCCGCCTTCGAGCTGTCGTGCCAACTCTCGGCGGCACGACAGCTCTGCGCGGCAGCAGCGAACATCAGCCGCCGCCGCAGCGCCACCCGCCTCGCAGCGCTCCGCCGTCGCGGCTGGAAGGAGCGCGCCGTCGCTGCCGTGGCACGGAAGGCCGGAGCCGGACTCGCGAACAGTCACGCGGCTCCGAGGCGAAGCGCTGACACCCAGGGCATGCCGCGAGCGCGCCTCTAGGCCAGCAACTGCGCGTGCCTGCCACGCGGTCTTGGTGGCGAGAATGTACTGTGCATGCGGTTCCCTCGTGCGTGCGTGTGTGTTCATCGCACAGCCACAGCCTGAGTTGCTGCGAGACATT